AACAATGTGAAGCTACGAGCTAACTAAAGAGCGCTAACATTAGCATGCTAACACAACAATGCAGGACACAGGTAGTGTGAAGCTACAAGCTAACTAAAGAGCGCTAACATTAGCATGCTAACACAACAATGTGAAGCTACGAGCTAACTAAGAGCGCTAACATTAGCATGCTAACACAACAATGTGAAGCTACACGCTAACTAAGAGCGCTAACATTAGCATGCTAACACAACAATGTGAAGCTACGAGCTAACTAAAGAGCGCTAACATTAGCATGCTAACACAACAATGTGAAGCTACGCGCTGACTAAAGAGCGCTAACATTGGCATGCTAACACAACAATGTGAAGCTACGAGCTAACTACAGAGCGCTAACATTAGCATGCTAACACAACAATGTGAAGCTACAAGCTAACTACAGAGTGCTAACATTAGGATGCTAACACAACAATGTGAAGCTACGAGCTAACTAAAGAGCGCTAACATTAGCATGCTAACACAACAATGCAGGACACAGGTAGTGTGAAGCTACAAGCTAACTAAAGAGCGCTAACATTAGCATGCTAACACAACAATGTGAAGCTACGAGCTAACTACAGAGCGCTAACATTAGCATGCTAACACAACAATGTGAAGCTACGAGTTAACTACAGAGCGCTAACATTAGCATGCTAACACAACAATGTGAAGCTACGAGCTAACTAAAGAGCGCTAACATTAGCATGCTAACACAACAATGTGAAGCTACGAGCTAACTACAGAGTGCTAACATTAGCATGCTAACACAACAATGTGAAGCTACGAGCTAACTAAAGAGCGCTAACATTAGCATGCTAACACAACAATGCAGGACACAGGTAGTGTGAAGCTACAAGCTAACTAAAGAGCGCTAACATTAGCATGCTAACACAACAATGTGAAGCTACGAGCTACTACAAGAGCGCTAACATTAGCATGCTAACACAACAATGTGAAGCTACGAGTTAACTATAGAGCGCTAACATTAGCATGCTAACACAACAATGTGAAGCTACGAGTTAACTACAGAGCGCTAACATTAGCATGCTAACACAACAATGTGAAGCTACGAGTTAACTACAGAGCGCTAACATTAGCATACTAACACAACAATGTGAAGCTACGAGCTAACTAAAGAGCGCTAACATTAGCATGCTAACACAACAATGTGAAGCTACGAGCTAACTAAAGAGCGCTAACATTAGCATGCTAACACAACAATGCAGCTCGAGACAAGGACAATTTTGTCCACCGCTTGCGCTAAACTCATAGACTGTAAATATTACTGGACGAACCCTGACCCGTCTGTGACATGGGCAGAAAATGAGTCCAATCGACGGCCGCATCCATATTGGATTTGCAGTCTCAACCTAACTTCGGATCAACCTAGCGACAGCAGTAAGGCGGGACCGGCGGGACTTAACTCCGCCCATTCAGCTCGACGTTAGCAGTCCACTTGACAGCATAGCTAACAGCTAGGCTGCTATCATCAACTATTCCTGCTCGTCCTGAGAAAACTCTACAAACAGTAAGTTAACATTTAACTTTTCTACAACACAGTTAAAACTAATTATATTCAACCAAATATTTAATTAAAGTCTTAAAACTACACTTTTTAAATATACAACTATGGTTATTAGTTATTTGTCAGAGCAGTTAGACTTTGTCAGTGTTAGCAGAGAAATACATTAACAAAGTTTTATCCATAAACTGTAAATAAATATGAGACATCCAGAAGAAATCAATATTACAAAGCATACAGTTCATGTTACTGTTCTGACAAAAAGAGGAATGTCTGTGTCTTATATTTACTGATGTCAACAGCGATGAGGTGAACATGACAATTGAAAAATAATTATTTAGTATTTATTATAAGACATTTGTTTTCTATTGAACCTGTGAAGTCATGGAGTCTGTGGACAGTGTCAGCTTCACACCAAAAACTTTAAGTATTAGAAAAAATAGTGTTTAAGACTGGCATCTATTATGATGAGTTGCAGCTACCTTGTTCAATATTATTCCTGCAGATGTGGCTCATAACAAAAAAACACCTGAGCTGTCACATGTAGTTAACTGTACATTTTGTTTGTCTGAGGCATTAATTGAACACCTTTGTATTTCTCCTATAGACACAGTGTGGATTATTGGTGACTGGTCCATCGAGGTGCCCAGAGAGCTGCAGAGACAGAGGAAGAAACCTGAGCCTCAACAACATCTGTATTTGTTGGTTCTTCTGGGGTGGACTTCAGTTGCTTCTCTTCAACAGCTCGCTGTGAGGGAGGTCTCCCCCGGATGGCCTGAGTGATGTCACCCACAGGCTGAGAGCTGAGCGGGTTTTAAACCTCTTGACAAACCGTTACACCGCGCCCACCTGTCAAGCTGGTCAGCTACACGCCTTATTGTGAATAACTCTTATCCTTCATCAAATCAAAACTGATGAGTCATCAAAACATTCACCCCCGTACAGTGTGTGTCCATCGAGACATGAGCTAATCACACCTATTTGTTTGTTTTGTACCAAGCTGTAAACATGTTCATCTCTGCTGTAAAAACAGACTTTTTTTAATGTTGTTTTTCAGATTAAATAAATATTTCTATATAAATGCACTCCTTTATGTCTACTTATGAGTATACATTTCAGATTTGAAATGACAAGATAAAATGTGCATTAATGCTCAACTCAATAGCTTAGGGAAGGAAGTCTACTTTTACACAACTTCTTATTCTTTTGATAAATACTAATGTAGTTCATTTCTGAAAGTGGGATGGAACAGAGTCATTGCAAAATTGCCTTAAACACAGCCCCATTCTTAAATCAAGATACATGGAGAGTAAATAAGATCAATAACTTGTGAATAAAAACAGTTAAAAATGATTTAGAAATGTAGTCTTCCCTGATCAATATCACATAATATCAACTTCTCCCATCTAAACTGGACAAAGGGTTTTAAAATGGGAAGAAAATGGTTTGATTGCAAGTTGTTTGGAGGAGATCTAGTTTTATTTGAACAGCATGAATACAGTCTTCCAAGGTGCAAACCCTCCTCCTCCTCCTGAAGCTGTGGAGCTCCTTCATGTACTGCTGTCTTATCTGCTGGCCATCTTCTCTCAGCAGAACTTGACTGTTGAAAAGTCATTCAGAAGAAGCTCGAGCATGTGACATGGATCCAGGAGAACATGGACTTTTAGTGAGGGTCTTCAGGATGGCAAAGAAAGAGAGAAAATATCAGTTATTCATTAAATCATTTTGTTTGTTCTCATCTATTTTTCTGTATTCATCTGTGTGTAAGAGCACATTTATAAATTCAACAGTGTACTACCCAGACAACAAAGGTCAGTATTCAGGTAATCAACATCTATTCAAAGTTAAGAAGATAAACATTATTGTAATCATGCTGTTTTCAGCTCTCTCACTCACACAATGATATTCCACATCAAATTGTCTCAGATTTTGTGAGGAAAAATTAAGCAGTTTATTGTGGATAGTACTTCATCTTAACATGAAACAAATATAACCTGAATTATTTAAATCATTAACAGGTCCCAACTCTCTGTGCTTTAGTACAGAACATACAGTAACTCATTTATTATTAACATGAGCTCAGTACATGGCTGTATTCTTCAAACTATTTCTTATACTTTATATCTATGTGCTTTATATCTTATTTTCATTCCATATGTTATTTATATTTTATATTTCTACTGCTATATTCTGTGTATGAGTGCAGTGAAAATGAATATGGTTATTAATATAGTTCTTAATGGTTACAGATGCTCTTACAAAGTGAATTTTTAATTTGTTAACAGTTTGCTCAAATCTTAAGACACTACATCAACCATGTAACTTTAATGTCATCCTCTATAACCTACACAGCACATTAGGTTCAGTTCAGTTTATGTTACTGACGGATAATTACTACACAAAGTTTGTTTTTTAATGTCCACATTTAGTGGAGTATAACATTCATCATAACGTCAGATAACCACCGAGATGAACCTTTAGCTTCTAACATCACACAAACTCATTATTTTCAACAACAACATCTTAACAACACATTTCTAAACCATTGACCGTAAATAATGTAAATAATGGTAAATAATGAGCTACACTGAGTTAGCCGACTGGTTTACAAGCTAACGCTAAACAAGCTAGGTAAATATAATATAAACATGAGTAAGCAGTAAATATAACACTACTATATCACTTACAAAAAACTGAAGCATCAACTTGTTGGATGGTCTGTTAACCGCACAGCAAGCCATGTATGTTGTCAGATATGTGTTAAACAACTCTCCAAACGAAGTAAGAAAGAGGAGAAATCAGACGGATCAAGCTGTTAGCCTCCTGACCTGCTGACTCCTGACCTGCTGACCTCTGACCTGCTGACCTGCTGACCTCCTGACCTCTGACTGCTGACCTCCTGACCTCCTGACCTGCTGACCTCTGACCTGCTGACCTCCTGACGCGCAGAGCTGTCAATCAAATCTGACACAACCTAATATGGGCATAGTCGTTTTCCTTAATAGAATAAAATCTGATGAGTTATAAAAAATTCACCCCCCCACAGTGTGAGGAGAAGGGGCCGTCAACTTCTCAGATACATCTCGTTTTTTTGAACAGGCTGTAAACATGTTGATTCCTGTGGTAAAAACGGGCTTTTTTGGCTGTGGGTTATGGCACTTCCGGCGCTTCTGCAGCCAGCCTCAAGAGGAACTCGAGGAACTGCAGTTTTTTGTACTTCCGCATAGGCTTCATTTTCGAGACCGGAGGTTGCCCTTGTTCAGAACCTGTCTGAGTCAATCTGACCTAGTTACTAGTGACGTCGATGCTCAGGCTGAATTCCTATTGGCTGAGACAGAGGTTGACGTCAGCACTCCTTTTTCTCCTCACCTCTCAGCTCGAGCTCGAAACACGCAGATTCTGAAGAAGTTGATGAGAACATAAACGTTTGAAGTTGGACGAAGCTGAAGACTTCACAGGTCACAATGAAGACTCTGGTGTTTGTGTCTCTCGTGGGATTATTCCTCCACGACACGACGGCAGGTGAGTTCAGATTCATTGAAGACGATTTAGATGGCCGCACAGGTGTGAGCAGTGTGCACAGGACCCTCCACAGTATGCTTTAAAAAATACTATTTATGCTCTACCCAGAGACATCTACTGGGACGACTTAATTGCTATTTTTTACCGTAGCTCGTTTTTTTATATTCATATTTCTCGCTTATTTCCTGATTTTCTGCTACAAACTGCTTAATCGGCCCCACTGCCTACAAACAATTGCAAAAGTAAGTAAGTGTCCGCAATTCCAAGCATCACTCAGACTGTGGCTAGCTGCCGACATGGATCCAGCTGAGATAACCCTACAGACTCTGTGGAAGGCTGTTCAAGAAAGTAAAACGGAGCTGCTCCTGCAATTTGATAAGAAAATGAGTGTCATTCAGAGCAATCTGGACTCGATTAGAGGCTCCCTGACCACGCTCGGTGAACAGGTAGAGGAGATTGTAACAACGTATAAGTGCCAACCAAGACAACATTGAAACGGCATCTGAATCAATTAACAACCTGGATAAAGATGTGGCGCCTTGTAAAACAAAAACTCCAGCAGGCTGAAAACGACGAAAGGCATCTAAACCTTCGCTTGGTAGTCCATTGAGATTATGTTAACAACTGGGTGATGGGTGAGGGAGGTGCAGCGTAGTTTCTGGTTTACGCTTGTTGCTGCTTTTATTTTCTCTCTCTCTCTCCCTCTTTCTTATGAAGTCGGCTTTTTTATGAGCAGAGGGAGGGACGGTAAAGGTGTGTGCGCTTGCATTTGTGTGTAGTATTTAGACTGTCCCCAGCTCCCCCCACTAAAAATCTCTTGTACCTCACCGGAGCTAGGCTAAACGTTAGGGTAGATCATCACAGATGACTAATAGTGGTGTGGGACCTGGCAATGTTAAGGGGTAGTCAACTGGGATCACAAGACTGTTTTTCTTCCTTTTCCTTCTTTCTTTTTGCTTTCTTCCTTATCTCTTTTTTCCCCCTTTCTCAGTTAAAGACAGTATTGGAAGTGCTAAATGAGACCAATCTCATTGTCAGTTGGTGCGTACGGGAGTGGAAGGGAGGGAGCCCAGTGCAAAAATATATGAATTTAATGGATTTGACTTCACAAATTGCTATAGGCACAAGATATATCTAGAGTCAATGCCCTTCACTTTCTTTGTTTTATTTTATATATATATTTTTTTACTTTCTTCTTTTTTTTGTCTGTATTTGTTTAATTGTGTATTTATCTTTTTTCCTGATGCTTTTACATTTGAATATACTGGCTGTACTAATACACTCAAGCTGGCTTTATAATGACTAGTACTTTAACTTTGATGACATTTAATGTCAAAGGCATCAGTAACCCCATGAAAAGGAAAAATATTTTAAACTACTTAAAGACCCAAGACTGTAGTATTGCTTTTTTTTTTTTTTTTACAGGAATCACACTTCACAGACGCAGAACATCTAAAACTAAAACGAGACTGGGTGGGGGAAGTTTTTTACTCTTCAGATATCTAGGTCTAGGGGTGTGGTCATATTATGCCACAAGCGAATAACAATGAAAGTGCTTAGCCAGGAAAAGGACTCAACTGGGAGATGGATAATACTTAAATGTGATATAAATCAAGAACCATACACACTTATTAATATCTATGGCCCAAATAATGACAATGCTCTATTTTTAAAGACATCCTATTAGCTGCTGCACAGATTTATGGAAAATGTATTATGGCTGGGGATTATAATTTGACACTTAACCCCTCACTGGATAAAACAAAGAAGAACCCCCTCCCACTAAGCACTGCAGCTAAGGCTGTCAGGGAAGGTATGCATGATCTGGGCTTGGTGGATACTTGGAGAACACTTAATCCACTGGAGAGAGAATTTTCATTCTTCTCAGCAGCACAGAACAGCAACTCTAGAATAGATCTGTTCCTAATATCCAAAACAATGCTTCACAATGTAATACTATGTAAATATAAGGCGGCAACCTTATCAGACCATTGTCCTTTAAAATTGAGAGCAAGACAAAACTTAGAGCGCCCCAGACCTCACCGATGGAGATTTAAACCATACCTCCTTAACGATCCTGAATTTGTTGTCTTTATAGAAACAAAATTGATGAGTTTTTGGAGGTCAGCACCAACTCTGCATTCCCAAGCACCAGATGGGAAACTCTGGAAGCCTTCTTAAGAGGACAGATCACATCTTATGGCTCTCATAAACAAAGAACCAGCACACAACACTTAAATATATTAGAGCAAGAAATCCATGAACTGGAAACAAAGCACTACTATGAAAAAGGAGATAAAACTGGTAAACTTCTTAGCTGGCAAGTCAGAAAAGAGGAAAGCTCAAAAATAATAGATTCAATGCGAACTAAAGATGGCAACATTGTAAACAAGCCTGATGAGATAAATCAATGTTTTGAAAGCTTCTATCAAAGTCTGTACAAATTTGAAAACCAAATGGGTAGAAACAAAAAGTGTGAGGATTTTGGGGAAATATAGAAGTAATTAAGCTCTCAGAAGAAATGAAAAGTAGTCTTGATCATGAAATATTGCTAGAAGAACTTAGTAAGGCAATTCAAAGCTTGCTATCAGAAAAAGCCCCTGGCCCAGATGGCCTACCGACCGATTTTTATAAACAATTCCAGAACAAAGTGACTCAACCATTGATGGAGATGCTTAAAGAAAGCCTAGAAAAGGAAAGACTACCACCAAGCCTAGAAGTGGCAACCATCAATGGTATTTCCCAAGATGTCTAAGGACAAACAACTATGTGACTCTTATCGACCTTTGTCAATGCTAAATGTGGATTTTAAAATACTCTCTAAACTGGTAGCACTACGGCTGGAGGGCGTGATGACACACCTTATCCACGAAGACCAGACAGGATTTATACAACAGCGACAGGGTGCAGACAATATCAGAAAGTTAATCCATATCATCGAACTTGCTAAATGTTCAGAAGATCCTACATTCGTTATCTCTATGGATGCACAAAAGGCATTTGACAGAATCGAGCGGGAATATCTTTTTCACACGCTGAAGCACATGAACTTTGGTGAGGTTTTCATAAAATATATTAAAATCATGTATCACTCTCCCAAAGTTATGTCCAAGCCATTTCAGCTGGGAAGGGGGACAAGACAGGGCTGCCCTCTTTCCCCTCTCTTATTCGCCTTGGCCATTGAACCCCTAGCTGTGGCAATTCGCTCTAACAGGGAGGTATGTGGTATACAGACCGGGACATGCGAAAGCAAACTTTCCTTATATGCGGATGATTTATTAATTTATATTACACATCTAGAAAAGTCTGTACCGCAACTGCTCACAATATTAGAGAAGTATAGTACAATATCAGGCTACAAGCTTAACTACGAGAAGAGTGAAGTCATGCCCCTGAACCAAGCTTGATCCCCCATAATGGGGGATCAAGTAGAACCCTAATTTTATTAATTTATCAAAGTATTACTATAATTATGTCTTTTGGTTTTATTTTATTTTATTTATCTTTTTTATTATTATTATTTTCTTTTTTATTAATTGTTGTTGTTGTCGTGTGTGAATGTTTTTGTTTATTTCATTTTATTTTTTTATTTTTTTCTTTCATCATTACCTCAGTATCTTTAGTATTATTACTATTATTATTATTTTTGTCTCTACATAAATTTGATGACATCTAGATGTTGCTTTGCACTGTGCTCGGGACGGGGGGGGGGGGGAATGTGAATGTCAGTACGGTGCTGTTGTAAAACGGGTTAAAGATATATGTTACTGCTGCATGGCCTGCATGGTGTCTATTGTTTGGGGTAAAATGAATTAAAATAAAATAATTGGAAGACGATTTAATGGAAAGAGGGAAATGTCGCATGTCTTTATAAACTGTTGGTAGAAATGAAAGCTTCATTTGATGTTTGTTCTCAGGACTGAAGCAGCTTGTTGAAATGTGAAAAGTGAACATTTAATTTGACGTTAGTAAATCCTGTTTGTTCACGTCCTCACACCCTGATACTTACAAGAAAAGTGTTGTTGTGAGAAAGGCTATAAAAAGTGTCTGCTAGTTATCTTTTCCAAAAGACAAGCCGAGAAATGATGAAGGCCCGGTTCATATGAACAGGACCATGAATGTTAAAATAGCAGCATAACTACAGTGAACACAGCAGATAGACTCTGATTCAGAAAGAAAAAGGAACTAAATGCCTTCAAAGTGTTTCACCTCTAAAACCATTAACAGAGCATTTAAATGGACTCTTTAAGTCCTTCATGACACTTTAATGTTAGAAAAAGTGTTTTGTTATTAATGTAGTATAATTAATGTGGTATAAATACTTATTTCACTTGAATGAATTGTGATAATTAACATATAATCAGAGTGTCACAGTCATTAAAGTTCATTTTGTGAGGATCAAACTCAAATATGTGCTCAAAGAATCAGAAACATAATCAACCTCCTGACCCTCAAAATGAAGTTAATCTCGGTTTATTGTTTTACCTCTGAATATTTGTATATGAAATATGAATAAGCTCAAAGCTATTCCACAGATGATCTTCATCTTTACATGTTTGTTTGTTGTTTAGTTGAGATCACATAAACCCTGAAGCTCCAACATTTCATTGAAGTCAAACATCAGACTGTTTAGTGGATCTAGAAACACATATCTGCTGATGTGAGCTTATTGCACATATTTAGTTTTCTGTGCTTATGTTGGCCGATAAGTGACAGAAAACAGTGAAGCAGCTTGAACATCATTTAGAAACAGAGTCTGCATTACAGAGTTTGTCCACCAGAGGCAGTCACGACTTTATTCTCAAACTGAAACGTCACAGCTCAGTTTGTGTTTCCCACACAAAAAGAAATAAATGGTTTTAATCTGTGAAAGTCAAAAAAAACATCCACAGCAGCCTCAACAATTCAGCATTAATAAGACTACAAAGTTTGTAGACTTTATTCAAAGTGGTTACATTTATTCCTGCACAGATTTATCTAAAAGCTTTTTTGTTCTGAGCAGTGCATATTTTCTAAAGAGCAGATTAAAAACAGAACAATGATCGACGTGCATTCAGAAAGCAGACAACATGCAGGATTCAGAAATGATCTGTCATTTAGTTGAAGTTTTTTAGTTGAGTTTTTTCTAATTGAGTTTTTCTGCGCTGGCTGATTGTGCAGCTCCACTCAGTCTACACAGCTTCTTAAACTGTGCTCCATATACTGTTCAATAGTTTTTCTTTGTTGCTGTCCTCCAACACTGTCCTTTCAAAACTCAAATAATAAAACCCGCCTACGTGAGGACTAGTCATGAGATGTCAAGAAGTCAATAAAAATCCACTTAATGAAACATATCTGTCAATGAAAGTCAGGGGCATGACTGCATCACTTGAATATTTGACTTGTTGAATAAATAATTTCAGTATAAAAACATTTTCTAACACTTGAATCAGAAATATCAGAATAAGAGTTCCAGGAGAACTTTTTCTTTTCATCTCTAAATTAATTGGAGTATTTAATGACTGCAGAGAGATGATCAGGTTTGGTTGAATGTACTGGAAGTGTTTTTTGATTCTGTGTGCTGGATAATAACTTTTGTTCAATGATGCAAAAAGTTTCAGATTAAACTGATGAAAACATTTTGTCCTTACAGAGATGCACTCTCTGAAGAATTTCTACACGGCGTCTTCTGAAGTCACAAACTTCCCAGAGTTTGTGATTGTTGGGATGGTTGATGATTTCAGATAATTACTACGACAGTAACACCAAGAGACAGAACCCAAACAGGACTGGATGAAGAAAGTCACAGAAGACAAAGCTGACTACTGGGAGGCAGACTGAGAAGCTGTGGTTACCAGCAGCTTCAAAGTCAACCTTGACTTTAAAGCGGCGCTTCAACCAAACTGGAGGTTTGTTTATGATTCAATTTATACTGAAAAAAGATTGTTTATAACACACACACACACACACACACACACATTAAACTTAGAGACACACACACCACACACACACAGATACACACTCTCACACACACACACACACACACATCATCACACACACACACACACACAGTCACACACACACACACACTAAACACACAGACACACACTTAAACACACACACATGCACACACACACACACACTCAAACACAGAGTCACACACACACACACACAGAGTCACACACACACACACTCTCTCACACACACACACACACACACACACACTCTCACACACACACACACAACACACACACACACACAACACACACACACACACACACACACACACACACACACAGAGTCAGGAGTGTGTGTTCATGGTTGAATCTGTTGGATGAAGTCTTTCCTCGTCTGAAACAAACAGTCAGACTCAACAGAAACATCTCAGAGACTCAGACTCCTGGATGCTGCTGTACTGCTCTGATTCAGTGTTTCTGTCCATCCCATAATAATCTACAGACATTATTAACACTTGATCTCCACTAGATTACATCACAAGAACTCTACTGAGCTGCCCACATGTGAACTCTCCTTTTAGAAAAACAAACCTGTTCATCACAACAAACCAACAACACACAGCTGATAGAGGAACATTACTGCCTGGTTTCTCAAACTGAGGAGCAGGACCCCAAATGGGACACAGGCTGCTTCTGCTGGGTCCTCACATGAGAGGAGGAGCAGCATGTTTTCATGAAGCTGACTGACAGGACGCCATGATAAATATGACCATCAGATCAGAGGGTCAAAGGTCAAACAGCACAACTCTACTGTACTGACCTCCCTGTGTCCGAAATATGAACAAGAACAACTACAGATATATTCATTTAGATTATATTCAT